CCCCAAAACCCCAAAACCCCAAAACCCCAAAACCCCAAAACCCCTTTTCCAATTATATTTTAAAGAAATATTAATATAATTCTAAAATATAAATAGTAATTTAGACCTAATTAAATGGAAGATTTTTAATAAGCTGAAGATTAATAAGCATCGTAGGTCTTTGAAGATAATCAACAAGAATCACCAAGAATAAACGAAAACGACAAATCAAATGATTCTATTCCAACTGATGAATTGACTGATTTGTATAATTCTTCAGAGGAGTAATAAATCTAAAACTAAAATCAAAGTCAAAATAATCTATAGCCTTATTTAGATGTCTAAGCATCTTATAATCAAACTTAGATGCTTCAAATTTCACACAATATCATTGAATAGATGTAATCTCCTTCATCAAAGAAAAAATCTGATATTGAAGAGCTCAAGCAAATAATTGAGCTGTAGAAAGTATAATTAGATCGAATGTAAAATGAGAATGTAATGCAGTAAAGCAAAATAGATAAGCTTACCACTATGATGACCAATTAAAATGATGAGATTTAAGTTTTGAAACGGCAAATGATTATTCAGCCAGGTACGGCCAATACTCTAAGTTTGAGTAATTAGAGTTCACTATCTAAGATAACTAATTTCAACAGCTAAAGTTTAGTGCCATTATCCTAAAACTAACTTATGATTAATCCTCGATAATCTGACTTTTGGAAGGAAAATGATTAGGAGTTTTATACCACAAAAAACCCAAACAAAAAAGTAGCATTAGATCCCATTAATAGAAATAAAAATTTATAAGTATTAGATGAGATTAAGTAAGAACTATGGGTTTCAAAAGAGAGATAAGAGTAATAGAAAGTGATTGGTCAAAACCTGTCAAAATCTTACAAGGACAGTAGAAAATAATTAGATTAGTTCCAAGATGTGAGGGTATCCCAAAAAAAGAAGGAAAAGCTAAAGTCTAATACTTTAAAGAAAGCTTCAAAGAAAGTTTTCAATGAGGACTTAGTTGAAATTGGGGAGACACTAGATTTGTAGGGTGCATCATCAAGAGTATTATCAGATCAAAGGGACTCTACAACTGAAAATAGGTCAGTTGTATAGTTGCATAGTCATTAGCAAAACTTGCAAATTTAAAGGAAAAAGAATGCAAGTTAAATTTAAGAATAATAACTTAGTTAGTCAGTAAAAAGATAAGTAAATCCCAATAAGATTAACAAACTTGAAGCATTAAAATTTAAGATGCAGTTATAGGCTAGAAATCTAAAATTAATCAAGGAACATGATTTTTATATGAGAGATATAGAGAAGAAATAAAGAGGTGGGTAACGCGAGAATAAGTAGTAAACTATGCATACAGTTACAAGACTCTATAGAGATCTGGAGAGGACTCAAAAATAGTTGAAGCAGGAACTTCAATTGGCAGAAAGATCTGGTGATTTAGATGAGGAACTACTAGCTGAATGTGAAGGCTTATTTTAAGAAGTTGATGATTATTTCCGCTAACAGTAAAGAGAGTTCGAGGAAAGAAAGGTTAAAAAGGATTATACTAAAGTTAGTAGCAGAATCAACTCAAATTTAAAGGGAATTAAACACAATAAACTAGTTGCAATAAGCAAAGAAGATCTTAATTAATAGGATGAGATGGATGATGATATAGAAGATTAGTAATTGAATGGATTAAGTATACAACCATATGATAGGTCTAAGTATCACTAATCAAACATTAATTCCAACAGAGGCAGGGATCAATACTCTCCGCATGGCGATGTTGGCTCAAGTAATTATAATAATGAATATCCAACTTAAGGCAGAGGGAATGTAAAGTTACCTCAAATAATAAGTAATAGAGGTGGACCTACTTTAAATGTAGTCAATAATCTTAAAAATTCAAACAAAAATCTCTCCATAAAAAGTCAAAAATATTAGTATTGAGTCTGAGAATAATCAATCTAGAGTACTTTACATTGAAGTTAAGCTGATTCGGAACTTTAGATTATTAACCTTCTAAAATTTAAGAATAGAGTATATATATTTATGAAATACTTAACCTAAGTTTTGTTAAGATACTTATGATTTTTAAATTAATAATATATTAAGCTTTCTATATTTTTATTTATGTATATAAGATCGTCTTAGTTGATGCCTCTTTATGCAGTCATTCTGTCTATTCTGTTTACAAAGATTTTTACTATTGCCTCTACTATTCTTCTCTTAACTATGCCTTATTATTGCTTTAAATTTATTTTTGTAGAGCTGACTAAGTTACTTGCGATTTGCCTATACTATCAACATACTTAATATAGTCAAGCTCTTCCTAAGTAATATTTTTATTAGGATCTTCAAAAACTCTAACAACTTCAGGTTTGTTACTTCTTGTCATCATGATGCGAGCTTGGTGTGAATTAGATGTCTATTTAGATGATCTTTCCATTCTTTTCTCGACCTTAAGTTGCTTTTCTTTGATCATCTCCTTTTCATTTTACTTTTTCTTTTCATATCTTATTTACTTCCTATCTTTATCTACAATCTTCTCAACTTCTTATAGTTGTTTAACTTAATCAGGAGCGGCTTCTCCACTAAAGAAGATCAAATCTCTTCTCTCAATATAGAGAGCAAGTTTTCTTTCAATCTCTCCTAATTGGACTACCACATCATCATCTGTATCCCTTGCAGGCCCACTTTACCTTACTTTCTAATATAGTCTGCTAATTATAGATTTCAGACTTGTCATCTACGACTTGAAATCAGACATTTTATCTGAGTGCAAATCCGATTTCGATCTCTTTCGACTAATCGTATTATTGCCTTAATCTGCTTGATTGAAACTCTTAATGTAAGTCTTGATTGAGTTCTTTTTAACCATTTTATCTGCGATCTTTAATTGATAAGTGTTAATATTCTCCTGAATCTCATCTAAAATTTTTTGTTGTTTGGTGTATTTAATCTCTGCTCTCTTTTCCAAACGCTCAAGATCCTATTCTTCGTTTTAGATATTATCCAACAGGAAGATATTAGCATCCTCAAGCGATTAAATAATTTCTAAAAACTCATTTTTAGACAGATCAACTCCATTTGGATCAATATTAGAGTCTTATTATGATAGATTCTCAAGATTCATAATCTTTTAAGCTTCTTCAGTTATAAAGAAATTATCAGCACCAGATTTATTGAATCTACCAGTGCTATTCATTTTTTTATCATCAGGTTTGGCTTTAAATTTCCTCTACCCCTTAACCAAGTCAATAAATTCTTTAAAGAGTGCAGATTGCTTTAAATCATCATCTACCTAAGTTATTTCCTTGTCAAATCTATGGATCTCATCTTGAAGTCTTTCTAAATAATCAGCAAAATCTCCTTTTTCTTTTTAGGAATTGTCAGTATTTTCTCTGGCCTTCTCAGCTTGTTACTCCATCTCAGCCATATATTTCTAAAATTTATCCTAGTCTTCTTGGAAAACTCGTCTTGCTTCTTCTAATTTCTCTCTTTCCATGATGATATATTCTTTAAGCTTTAAGGTTTCTTCTCTTTTAGCTTCAATAGACATTTATGCATAGAAAATAGACCTAATACTGCCCACTATCTCCTTAGATGTTTCTCGAGGAGACCCACTAGTTGAAGAAAATGCATTTTTAGATAAATATCTCAAAGTTGGTGGCAAATCTCTGATAATAACTTGCTGAGTTCTATCAACAGATTTATCATTGAGAGGATCAATACTAGTAAGATATGAATTCGCTATTGGTTCTATGGTAGTATTGTTATGACTTCTTTTCATATCGATGCTGTGATTAACTGTACCAAACCGTTTCTTTATTGCACTCAAATTTACTAGAGAGTTATTATCTTAATTATCTACAAATACTGAGCTTTTTTTGTTGTCATTTAAGCCTATTTGATTTACTAATCTAATCGATCCCTCTCTTCTTTGAAATGATAAGTTACGAAAATAATTTTCAGTTATTGACTATTTACTCTGTGTTTAAAGAATACTTGCATTATGATCTTTTGATATGCTTCTCTTTAAATTAACAAGCGAATGCTTTTCATGACTTTAATTCTAATCTTGAATGGATTAGAGCGTAGTTAGCTAACTCATCTGCTGAGATAGAGAAGTTTCCCTCTTAAATCGACTCATTCGTTCTAGTTCTCTTTGAATCAAGAGTTGCTCTGTGGTTTTTTTAACAGAGAAGGGATTCAGATAAGATGTATTACCACCTTTCTGTTTGTCATCCTCTTTTTCTCCATACCTAGACTGATATTTACCTGCTAGGCCTAAAGTTTAAAACTAGAAATCAGGGGAATCATGCTATTTTCTAGTTCTTTTTTAGATAGAAGGCAGCTGAATACTAATATTGTTTTTATCTAGTTTTTCATGTGCATCAAAACTTGTGTCTACCATAGATTATTTTTATTTCTATAATTGAAAAATATTCTTTAATCAGTGCCTAATGGGGTTTTGGGGTTTTGGGGTTTTGGGG